CAAAATGCTGCTCTCGCTGAGGCGCCGGCCTCATTTTCGGGCCCCGCTCGTTCCGAATCGTGCTCCCGCTGCAGCGCTGGCATCATTTCCGCCGGCGCATGGGCTGCACGCCCGAGCCGGCGCCCGGGCCGGCGCTCGGGCCGCCGGGTCCGGAGTCGGTTTCGGCCGCCCCCGGAAAATGAGGTTCCGGGGCGGCGCCGAAAAAAGGCCATTCTAAAATACACTTTTACCTAACAGCGAAGATTGATAGGTTTCTAATAAAATCAAAAGAAAGAGAGCATCATGACGCCCCAGACGGGGGCTGGGCGCGATCCGGAGGCGGGTGCCAATTTTTTTTTTGCCAACACTTACACACTTCGTGGTCTTCGAGGTCGCAGAACTCCATTCCCGGGCCACATTCTGAATGCCCGGAACCAACTGTAGGCCACTTCGTGGTCTTCGAGTTCCCAGAACTCCATTCCCGGGCACATTTTGAATGCCCGGAGCCAACTGTAGGCCACTTCGTGCTCTTCGAATTCCCAGAACTCCATTCCCGGGCCACATTTGGAATGCTCGGAACCAACTGTAGGCCACTTCGTGGTCTTCGAGTTCCCAGAACCCCACTCCCGGGCCACATTTTGAATGCCCAGAGCCAACTGTAAGCCACTTCGTGTTCTTCGAGTTCCCAGAACTCCATTCCCGAGCCACATTTTGAATGCTGAGGCATGCTGATGCTGAGGCTGAGGCAGGCTGAGGCTGAGGCCGAGGCTGAAGGCAGACTGGGGCTGAGGCTAAGGCTGAGGCTGATGCTGAGGCAGGCTGAGGCTGAGGCTGAGGCAGGCTGAGGCTGAGGCTGAGGCAGGCTGATGCTGAGGCAGGCTGAGGCTGAGGCTGAGACTGATGCAGGCTGAGGCTGAGGCAGGCTGAGGCTGAGGCCGAGGCTGAAGGCAGACTGAGGCTGAGGCTGAAGCAGGCTGAGGCTGAGGCTGAGGCAGGCTGAGGCTGAGGCTGAGGCAGGCTGATGCTGAGGCGGGCTGAGGCTGAGGCTGAGGCTGATGCAGGCTGAGGCTGAGGCAGGCTGAGGCTGAGGCCGAGGCTGACGGCAGACTGAGGCTGAGGCTGAAGCAGGCTGAGGCTGAGGCAGAGGCAGGCTGAGGCAGGCTGAGGCAGGCTGAGCTGAGGCAGGCTGAGGCTGAGGCTGAGGCTGATGCAGGCTGAGGCTGAGGCAGGCCTGAGGCTGAGGCCGAGGCTGAAGGCAGACTGAGGCTGAGGATGAAGCAGGCTGAGGCTGAGGCTGAGGCAGGCTGAGGCTGAGGCAGGCTGAGGCTGAGGCTGAGGCTGAGGCAGGGCTGAGGCTGAGGCAGGCTGAGGCTGAGGCCGAGGCTGAGGCAGACTGAGGCTGAGGCTGAAGCAGGCTGAGGCTGAGGCTGAGGCAGGCTGAGGCTGAGGCTGAGGCAGATGCTGATGCTGAGGCAGGGCAGGCTGAGGCTGAGGCTGAGGCTGCATGCAGGCTGAAGCTGCGGCAGGCTGAGGCTGAGGCTGAGGCTGAAGGCAGACTGAGGCTGAGGCTGAAGCAGGCTGAAGCTGCAGGCTGAGATGCATGCTGAGGCTGAGGCTGAGGCAGGCTGCTGAGGCAGGCTGAGGCAGAGGCAGGCTGAGGCAGGCTCCAGAGGCTTAGGCAGGCTGAGGCTGAGGCCGAGGCTGCAGGCAGACTGAGGCTGAGGCTAAGGCTGAGGCTGAGACTGAGGCAGGCTGAGGCTGAGGCTGAGGCTGAGGGCTGAGGCTGAGGCTGAGCAGGCTGAGGCTGAGGCTGATGCAGGCTGGGGCTGAGGCAGGCTGAGGCTGAGGCCGAGGCCGACGGCAGACTGAGGCTGAGGCTGAAGCAGGCTGAAGCTGAGGCAGAGGCAGGCTGAGGCTGAGGCTGAGGCAGGCTGATGCTGAGGCAGGCTGAGGCTGAGGCTGAGGCTGATGCAGGCTGAGGCTGAGGCACGCTGACGCTGAGGCCGAGGCTGAAGGCAGACTGATGTTGAGGCTGAAGCAGGCTGAGGCTGAGGCTGAGGCAGGCTGAGGCTGAGGCAGGCTGAGGCTGAGGCTGAGGCAGGCTGTGGCTGAGGCTGTGACTGCGACTGCCGTCGCCACTGCGACTGCCATCGCGAATGCGACTACGACTGCGCGAACAGCAGAATTCTACAACAGGATTCTCATCTGAATCTGAAGGGGAATGCTTCCAGATATGCTCCTACACATCGCTGTTAGGTTGCTTTGCCGGGATAATTCTTTTGAAAATGCTCAATTTCTGCGTCTGGCGCCCGGGAGGCCTCCTGGGCCGATTCCGACGCCCGGGCCGGCGCCCGAGCCGGCGCCCGGGCCAGACGCCCGAGCCGGCGCCCGGGCAGGCGCTCGGGCCAGGTCCGGAGCCGGTTCCGGCCAGCGCCGGAAAATCGAGTTCCGAGGCGGCGCCGAAAAAAGGCCATTCCAATAAACATTTTTCTGTTGAAAATGCTCAATTTCTGCTTCGAGCGCCCGGGCCTCCCGGGCCGATTCCGACGCCCGGGCTGGCGCCCGAGCCGGCGCCCGGGCCAGACGCCCGAGCCGGCGCCCGGGCCGGCGCCCGGGCCGGGTCAGGAGCCGGTTCCGGCCGGCGCCGGAAAATCGAGTTCCGAGGCGGCGCCGAAAAAAGGCCATTCCAATACACATTAATCTTTTGAAAATGCTGGATTTATGCTTCTGGCGCCCAGGAAGCCTCCCGGGCCGATTCTGGCGTGCCTCCGCTCGTTCCGAATCGTGCTCCCGCTGCAGCGCTGGCCTCATTTCCGCGCTTCCGCTCGTTTCGACTCGTGCTCCCGCTGCAACGCTGGCGTCATTTCCCGTGCCATGCCACGGCATGCAATGCAATGTTAGGTTGATACTACGCTTCGCGGTGCTCTTCTACGGCATGCCATGCCGTGCTCTACAATGCATCGCGTACCCTTTCGGGATCATTGCCCTGCTCGACATCCGACTGTGCGAGTAGAGAGGGGATCTGCGCCATGGTATGGGATGGGAGGGAGGGGCAGGATGTAAGATATGACGCGAGCGCACCTAGCTTGCCTCTCCCCCCTCCCCCCTCCCCCCTCCCCCCCCCTCCACTCCACCCTCCCCCCTCTCCCCCCCCCCCTGCCCCATCCCCCCTCACCCCTCACCCCTCCTCATGAAGGCGGCGCGAGCGCACCTAGCTCTCTCCCCCCTTCCCCCTCCCCCCTCCCCCCTCCCTCCCCCCTCCACCCTCTCCCCTCCCCCCTCTCCCCTCCCCCCTGCCCCATCCCCCCTCACCCCTCACCCCTCCTCAGAAGGCGGCGAGGCTTCTCAGAAGACCTCCGGCCGTCTGGCTTCGGACGAAGCCCAGGAAGCTTCTCGGAGGGCCAGACCTCCTGCTGCGCCTTCTGGCGGGGGGCCCGCCCCCTCCAAGATATCCCGCGTTCAAGTTTGCTCGATGCGTGGACCCCCGGAGGCCTGGACCACTTTCCCAGGGCCGAGGGCCCCCGGAGGCCGAAAATAGCGGAAAACCAGCAGCTCAATGTTTTCCGAACCTCGGATCTCTGCTGATAGACCTCGTCGCCCGAGAACCCGCCAGCTGGGCAAGAAGGAGGAGGATAAGGAGAAGGAGGAGAAGGAGCAGGAGGAGGAGGACCAGTGCAAACCCAAGGCCCAGCCATGATCGCCCGGCCCGTTCTTTTGACCGGCCACGGGGTGCGACAGAGAGGAGTTACATAGAATGAGGAAGAGGAGGAGCAAAGTCATTCTACGTGGCCATATCGGCCCTGGGCGACAGCATCCAAAAGTACCACACCGACCACGAGTTCAAGAACGCCGTGGAAATCCTCAAGACTGAAGTACAAAACCTCGACGACGACCAGATGCTCGCCTGCGTGGAAGCCGACAGGCAGCGTGCTCGCCTCATCAACTACATTGTCAACAACCAAGCCGACACCATCCTCGGCCCCGAGGGGATAACGAGGATCGTTACGGAGATCCAGGCAGCACCGCCACCCGTAGCCGCAACCCACCAGACTAACGACGAGGAGCTCCACGCACATGGACAACCCGACCGTTAGGGGCCGCAGAGCGGCACACGACTAGACCCAAGTCAACGACCAAGACCAAGGTAACGACCAAGGCATGGAGGTAACGGCAACGTCCTCGTCCACGACTCAGTCCGACATAAGCGCCAAGGCAGCACCGAACGACGGGTCGCGATAAAAAGCACCACCGACGCTTACAAACCAAGGCGCCGCCCCCACGGAGCGATACCCCACCAGCTGCAGTTACTAAGGTAGGACACCTCGGGCTAGCTGACGACAGGACCCTGGGGCTCGTGAGAGCCAGACCCAGAATGATTCCACCACTCCACCAGGAGGTCCCCTCCAAGCCTTCACCCAAGACATCACCAAATGCACACGACGGGCAAAAGACATCGAGCAGTAGCAACGTGCCTCCGATGACGGTGCCGTACATGCCGCCGCACATCAAAGCTAAGGCACCGACCATGCCGCACATGGAGACAGTAACCGAGCAGGCCACCACGCCGATTGAGCAACCACACATCGCAATGATATCCGGATCGTCAGACGGAGAGCGCCAACAGGGTGGCATTGCGCGCTTGACCAACACAATCAGCAATAGTCACAACGAGCGGAACACCTAACTCATCAAGATCTACGTCCACAGACTGATCTCAGAGTCCATCTCTGGCATCAACGACCCTGAGACTATCTGCGACTTGGACCAGGACTCCAACGACTCAATGAAGCACGAATATGACGTCCTGATGACCTGCGTCAAGGCATCCACCAACTACTACCTCCGACACGATGCACTCCCAGCAGCTCGACTGTTCACGATGACCCACAACCAGACCGTACTGGCACACTTCGTCAACCACCAGCTTGCCACGATGGTCGCCTACCCGATTGCCTACGACTGCGACGACCTACCGACACCAGCTGCAGTCGCCCAACAGCGCCGCGGCGTCTTAATACATATCAGGCTGGGCATACGCTACAACCTCTCTTCTGAGCCAGCTCCACTCGCGATCACGCTCTTCCAGAAGAATGTCGCCAAAATGGCCAACACCAAGATCAACGAGAAGGTCGAGGCCCATGGAGGCACCCCACCAGGCAACGCCGTCGGGCAGACAGCGGCCCACGGCGAGGACGACCTGCAGGGACCACCCAACCAAGGAGCTGCGATGGACAACCACTCTATGCACCACCAAACGAGTACAACGACACACAGCGACGCTCACACTGAGCCCATGCACCCAGGCTCACCACCAGCAGTACCCGCTCCGCAAGAGCACGAGGTACTTCACATCGCCAATACCATGGAGCTCGGCCAGTTCTCGCCGCAACGCTTGATCGCGGAAACGTACCCATGGCTGGCTACCACTACCAACACCAAGCAGAAAGTGCTGACACCAACCCGCAGGATGATCGCTGACACCAGCACCACGACACCCGCCGACGACATCGACCACACGAACCACCTTCTGCTGACAGCAGAAGACGTAGCCCACCTCAGGGGAGAGGAGCTGGACAACGCCACGATCCAGGCTACAGACGAGGCCATGACCAGGGACATAGCCATCCCGCTCGAAGCAGAGCTAGCATGGCAACCATGGCCATCATTCCCAATCGCATGCCAGCTCGACCACTCG